TCCACTTTCCATGACCTCAAAGGGCCCTGCTCCTCCTCTGTCCCTGAGGTGATGTATAACAAAATGGCTTTTTGCCTCTGCTCAAATCTTCCCAAAGTTCATTCACCCTGTTTGAAGAGGCAGGAAGGCTCCCTGCGGGGTGCAGCCTCCATCCCCCATCAAGATTGTTAAGGGCTTATTTACCTTACATGTAAATGGGGTTTTCTTTGCTTTGCTTTCAACTTAATTAATTCACAATGGAGACAGAGTCAAGCCAGTGAAACAACAGCCCTTTGTTTAGGACAGCTGGGCTTAAGCACACATCTATGGTTCTTTAAACCTCACCTGTTCATGCACCACACAACAATATTAATGACCAGCATGATAGCAGTTTGCATGACACCTTACACAACACCTTTTAGATGCAGATTTCAACTCCTGTGAGTTGGGGCAATGAGCGTGTCAGGCCAGAAGAGAGTTGTGGTATGGAGTGAGCTCTGAGGGTTGGCTCTGGGGAACTCCCTGGGCCTCAGGTACATCTACACTCTGTGCTGGGCATGTAATTCCCAGCACAAGGGGACTGGCAGGCTAAAAATAGAGTGTGACTGCGAGCTCAGCATCTTCCAGGATATGCTAACAAGCCCCTCTGTCCAACTGGGTGTTACAATCCTTATAGCACCCGGCACCTAGAGATTAAAAAAAAACAAAACAAAAAAACCAAAAAACCTTCTGCAGAGGTTACTCCTTTTAACTCATGAAAGTTACCCCTTGATACACATCAATCACTGTGTTAATACCTTCTGAGTTAGAAACCTTGCATAATTTCTTGCATAGTATGGATTATTTCTAATGTATAACAGGGAATGTTATTCAGTGAATTTCCCATCTCTCCTGAGCCCAGGTCGCTCTGAATCACTCAGACTGCTGAATGGAGAGAGCCGGTGCGATGGGAGAGTTGAGATTTCCCTCCGTGGTGCGTGGAGCAGAGTCCTGGATGACCAGTGGGACATGAACGATGCCAGCGTGGTGTGTAGGGAGCTCCAGTGCGGAGTCGCTGAGAAAGCTTATAACCCCCCTAAGTCTGAGCGAGGAACGGGCCCTGTGGGGCTGAGAAGTGTCCAGTGTGAAGGAAACGAGACTAATCTGACGCTCTGCATCACCTCCACGTCTCAGGCAGAGCAGGCAGGAATTGATGAGGATGTCGGCGTCGTTTGCTCAGGTGACTTACTATGAAATCTTAGAAACATCCTGTCCTAGTTCAATGGGAACATGACCTGTCCTAGGGCTTGTAAACATCTCACCTTGTGCTGTGATCTCATAGACCTTGAAAATATGTGGATCTGAGGGTCAAACTCTGTTGTAAAAATATAGTATTGTGTACAGAGAAAAGCACAGCCACCAGATAGGTTAATGCATTGCAGCAACCTCTCTGTCTGTCTGTCTGTCTGTCTTGCATTTTTAATCAAAACTTTTTCAGATGTAAAACTGTTTCCTTATTATGGAAATTTTCACAAACATTTTTTTATTTTCATTTAACATTGTCACGGTTACAGGATTAGTTGCACCTTTCTCCCCTTTCTGGTGTCTCTATGTGCACCCACATGAGGCCTTGGCCCACTTGCCCTGGCCTGTCTTGGGGTGGAATCTCGAGATTCTTCCTCTGTTAGGCCTGGCCTGGTTACACTACCTTGTGCAAACCAACCACTTAGCCCCCTGCAGGTCCGACTGGGTTTCAGGCACCAGCATTTCTGCCCCTGGGGAACTTGTGTCCCGTGATAGTGACCTACAGCGTACTCAGAACAAAGCACTTTAATCAGCAGCTGGAACAATGCATTAGAGCAAAAGGGGTTTAAAAAAACAAACACCCCACACTTGTGTTGCAGCTCATCTAATCTCTGCTTCACTGCAAATTAAGTGAGCTGGGCTTCCCTGCGGAGTAACAGGAAAAGAACAGAATAAGTCTGTGTTCTAGTAAGAACCAAGGTGCTCATGAGACCCAGCTGGGCTCAGTTTGTCTGCCTCACTCCGTTCCCCTTTCTCTGTGAAGTTGTTTTTTCTGGAAGTCCCCACCTGCCCTGTGTGTGTCTGGGCTCAATTACCATATTGCTCAGTGGTCTGTGTTACAGGCCAGGTGAAGTCTTTCTTCTGCTGCAGACTAGTTTTCCCGGTTGGCCAGCCAGGCCATCTAGGAGAATATCCACATGATGATTGCTCCATTGTCCCACAGTCAGCGCCATCCAGCTTTAATGGTTGGCAGTCACTGGACTTGTGACCATATCGACCTGTGGCCAGAGCTGCCTGTTCCCTCTGACACTGTGACACCATCTTAAAAGTCAAATTAGTAGGTCACATTCAGGGTACACAGCAGGAACCTCTACCCTGCCCCCACATTCACCACAAAAACAATCAGATGGGGTTTTGGTGGGGTTTTTTTGTTGAAAGAATAATGGAAAAATCTGACAATGAAAAATATTGATATCTATCCTAACATTTGTTGGGCAGAAGAGATAATTTTCTGAGCAGGTCAGTAAATAGGTAAATACAGTGGCTTCTTATCTTAAAATCTTCAATAATGGGGCATACAGAATCAAAAAAGAAAAGAGGGGGAGGCAATGTGGCCTATTTCACAGAGCACTGGAACAGGACTCAGGAGACTTGGGGTTTCCTCCCAGCTCTGCCACTGGCCTGCTGGTGACCTCAAGCAGCTCATTCACCTCTCCGTGCCTCAGTTTCCCCATCTGTAACATGGGGATAATGACACTGACCTCCTTTGTAGAGTGCTTTGAGATCTACCAAAGAACTGTGCTATGTCAGAATTAGATTCTATTATTATTAATGGGAAAAGGAAGTCATACATAACCCTATTTCTCTTGGTGATTAAGTAAAACTTTTTGTTATAATGTGGTATTGTTATGTCCTAATCTTAATAGTACATCCTTTTGCTTCATTGAAAAGAAAAAGGAATTGAGGATTATATGATAATATTTTTATTGCTACTGATTGTACATCACTATTGTAACAGATTGCTAAACACACAAAAACTACCTCTAGAAATAGCTTTAAGTACATGTGAAGCAGGAAGCCTGCCATACAGACCATGGGACCACTAAATAACAAAGGTGACAAAGGTGTTAAAGGAGCACTCAAGGAAGACAAGGCCATTGCAAGAAGCTCAATTAATTCTTTGCATCAATCTTCACTGCAGAAGATGTGGGGGAGATCCCCACATCAGAGCTATAATTTTTGGGTGACAAATCTGATGTACAGTCCAAATTGATGTGTAATAAGATGATACTTTAGACAAATTGATAAACTAAACAGTAATAAGTCACCAGGACCAGATGGTATCCACCCAAGAGTCCTGAAGGAACTCAAATATGAAATTGCAGAACTACTAACTGTTGTATGTAACCTATCACTGAAATCACCTTCTGTATCAGATGACAATAAGGTAGCTAATGTAAGGCTGATTTTTTAAAAGGGCTCCGGAGCAGATCCTGGCAATTACAGGCCGATGACCCTACCATCAGCACCAGGCAAACTGGTAGAAACTACAGTAAAGAACCAAATTATCAGACACATAGATAAGCATGATTTGATGGGGAATAGTCAACAAGGCTTTTGTAAGGGAAAGTCATGCCTCTCCAGTCTCTGAGGAAGTAAACAAGCATATGGATAAGGGTGATCCAGCTGATACAGTGTACTTGGGTTTTCAGAAAACCTTTGACAGGGTCCCTCACCGAGGCTCTTAGGGAAGTTAAGTAGCCTTGGGATACTAGGGAAGGTCCTCTCATGGATCAGTAACTGGTTGAAATATTGGAAACAAAGGGTAGGAATAAATGATCACTTTTCACAATGGAGAGACATGAGCAGCAGGTCCCTCCAAGGATTTGTACTGGTATTTGTGCTGTTCAACATATTAATAAATGATCTGGAGAAGGGGGTGAACAGTCAAGTGGCAAAGTTTGTAGATAATAGTTCAGTCCAAAGCAGGCTGCAAGGAGTTAGAAAAGGATCTCACAATATTGCGTGACTGGCCAACAAAATGGCAGGTGAAGTTCATTGTTGATAAGTGCAAACCAATGCACATTGGAAAAAAATAATCCGAAATACACATATACCACGATGGCTTCTAAATTAGCCGTTACCACCAAAGAAAGAGATCTTGGAGTCACTGTGGATAATTCTTTGAAAACTGCTGAAAATTGAGAAATGATCAAAAAGGCTAATGGTATATTAGGAACTATTAGGAAAGGGAAAGAAAATTAGACAGAAACTATCACAATAAATCCATGTTCCACCCATACCTTGAATACTATGTCCAGTTCTTGTTGCCCCATCCATAGAAATGATATAGTGGAACTGGAAAAGGTACTGAGAAGGGCAACAAGGATGTTGAAGGGTACAGAATGGCTTCTGTCCAAGGAGAGACTAAAAAGATTAGGGCTGTTTAGCTTAGAAAAGAGACACATTGGGTGGTATGATAGAGGTCTATAAAATAATGAATGGTTTGGAAAAAGTGAGTAGAGAAATGTTATTTA